TCTTATTTCCGACCCGGACAATTTTGGGGGTCTACAATTGCTTAACCAGCTTTTTGTCTTGGTCTTGATTTAGCCTTTTGATGCTTGATTTGGCCTTTCTTCTGATACTTCAAGGGTTTGACATGATTCATGCTTTAGTTTTTCCTGTTCTTATATTTATCTAAAACACTAACACACATGTTAGTAATAACAATATGTATTATATTTGTCATTTTCAAAATCTCGTTGGGAATTGCTTCGTTTGACTTAACAAATATGATTTTTACTCCAACTTTATCTCTTAGGATGAGATCTTGTGGATGATGATTTATTAACATCCAGTCTTTTTGAGATCTGATTGCTTCATCTGACTTATTCATATGACTTATCGTTTGATCTTCAACCTCTGGTTCTTTCTTTTGTTCTTCTATTTGTAAATATGCAAAGTCTTCTTCTAGATTTGATAGTTTCCTACCAGTCATTAAGGCATCATTAAATTTAACATATATTGATGCCTCAACCATTAAGGTTCTAGAGTTGTAGACTCTGTATACCTTTAAGGTTTCTGAATATCTAAGGAAAATGCCCTTGTTTACCTTGGAATCAAATTTTCCAAGTTGATCTTTGGTATTTAGGATATAACATTCACATCCAAATGTATTTAAATATGAAATGTTGGGTTTTCTTCCTTTCCATAGTTCATAGGGAGTCTTATTTAAGAATGGTCTAATTAGTACTCTATTTTGAATATAATTTTTTGTGTTCATTGCCTCAGCCTAGAAGTGTTTAGGTAAATCATTTTCACAAAGTGTTTTGGCCATTTCTTGCAAGATTCTATTCCTTCTTTCAACTACCCCATTTTGTCAGGGTGTCCTCGGTGAAGAAAAGTTGTGAAAGACACCTTATTTTTCACAAAATGTTTTTAAATTAGAGTTTTGAAATTTTGTTCCGTGATCACTTCTTATGATAGATATGCAAAATCATTTTTCATTTTGAACACGTTTGCAGAATATTTCAAAGACCTTAAAAGACTTATGTTTATGGCTTAGGAAATATACCCATATGAATCTAGAATAGTCATCTATAATGACGAAACCATACTTTTTGCCTCCAAGACTAAGTGTTTTGGTTGGACCAAACAGATCCAAATGTAACAA